AAGAACTACAGATCGTTATTTCCAGAATTGTTATAAAAAGCTGCCTTATCGAAAAAAGCATTAATTTACTCACATATTCTTAGCTTCGTTCGCTCATTATAATTCTAAATGAATCATCTGGCAGATTTAGCTTTCTGAGCACACATTACGCCTTGCATATTTCTTTATTATACACTGAGAGCTTCATGTCAATTTGTGAATTGAGTAATAAAACAAAAGTTCTCTTGAAGGAAATTAATGAAATTCTCTTATTAAAAAATGGTATACTTGGGATTAGTAGCCTAAAAAAAATCGGAGTATTATATTGCTTTGAGACTAACTCGCTTTCCACTATGCTACATTGCTGCTAGTGAGAAGTTGCATTTAAATTATGTTTGTGATATGACCCTTGATTTAATGCTGACCTCGACTCGTAAAAAGGCATTCGCTATTTTTTATATCATTGTTCATGATACATAAACACCAGAATATACTCTTCAGATTTGTTACACGTGACTGTTTTATTATTAAGGGTATCAGCTAGAAATGTTCGTGCTTGTTATCTTGCATTACCTTTGTTTAAATTTTATTGCAGTTACATGTATTTTTGTTTGTATACTGCACTGGCCTGTAAAACTATAATTGTAAGTTTCTTTGTTTTTTCACTTTCCTGCATTAGACAAAGTATTACATGTACGTCATTATCGTCGATACCGAGTGCTATTTAGCATACGTCCCTCCACATCGGTATCAACTGATAACACTATTATATTGAATAGTAACTAAGTTCTGCCCTTTATTTAGGTGTCTGCAGATATAGCGAGAGACGAAACAAAAATGGCAGACGCATTCCTTTTTAGAAATCGTGTTTAGCTCATAATTGCAAATGTGTCATAAAAGAATACTTAAATGGTATAGTGCGTTCTTGCTCCTTCATCTTGTAAACCAAAACTCTACATTTTAATGCAAACCTTCAGGATTAACTTTCATTAACTTTCATAACTTTCAAAAGATGAAGCCAAGACTCACCCATGTTTTTGATTGTTAATCTGCTGAAAAACAACATCTTTCTGTGGGGTCAAATTTTCATGTTTTAAGAAAAAAAAACTCTTTATATGTGGGATTTTTATTTCGAGGATACATTAGTTCCATTTACAAAATAAATTATTATTTGCATCGGCTAGATTAGTTTTGTCCTCCGCTTTCATTAATTTTGGTTTCTTTGTCGATCTGTCCGTCCATCTGTATAGCTGCACTTTTGTTTAATTGCGATTTCTCGACAAATTTTACAAAAAATTCCTTAGGTCGTAGGATTATGAGGTCTAAGGAAGACGCCTACATATTAGGAGACCGAAAGGTCCAAGATAAATTCTGTCTGTCTTCAAACTTTTGCTTCCGCGCGATATCTCGAAAGGCCTTTGAGCACTTGCCGTGAAATGTTATACTTCCACTACCTATGGTCTCACGAAGACCATCTAGATTTAGGATTTTGTTAAAATTGTAGAATTCGTTAAAAACTCGCCATTTTATATAAAATTATGCAATTTGTTGTTTCTTATTCATATATTTCTTCAACGAAACTTGGAGACAGTAGAATGAGAAAAAGGTAATGTTGTCTTTGTGTCGACATCAAGGGCAGCTGGGTACAAAACAATTGTTCGTATAGTAGAGATTTTGTACTAAATTAGATGACAGAAGTACACCCAGGATCCACCATAATCTCACTAATGAACCGAAGTGAGGTTTTTGTCTGCCGTATTTGTTTTGGACGAATATTTTTAATGTCAATCGGAAAGTTAATAGTGTCAAATTGGTGAGGATATTCTTTCAAATAGAAGTCAGTTATACCATCAATCGTTCGTAGTATGAAAAACTTGGGGTAAATTACGTTAAATAGCTTTATGAAACAAATTTAAGTGGCTAATTGTTTGTAAGACACAAAATGCACATTTTCGTAATTTTATCATCATTTCGTCATTTCCATGGTCGATACATTGGCCTTGTTAGCAAATACAATCTATCAACAATTTGAATGCTGACTGACATTTTTATTTTGAATTATAAGGCCATTATTTAAAACCGAATTGTGTACGGTTTTTTTCATTTAGCCAATTATAACACAATGAACATACAACGGGTGTGACTTGTCGATAGGGGATGCTTAATCCTTCATGACACCTTATCCAACCTCTTGTTTTAGAGATCTGCGTTTGCTCTGCTCAAGATTCAATGATTTTTTCAAGTTTAAAAATTTCGTTTTCGTTACATTTCATTAAAAATTTTGTTTTTTTTCGAAACATTTGTGTAACACAAGATTCTATCAAACCAAATGCATATTTGTATTTCTTTTCTTTTTTCATTTGAAACAGTTGAAGTGTGTAACACAAGATCCTTTCAGACTATGTTCAATCATTTTACTGAGCATCACCTTAAATCCATTTTTTAACTAAACTTCTAAGTCTGTGTACTTCTATATCTATTTAAAATAGCGTAAAGTATATTTTACTTTGCATACCATTGGTATGCTTACATATGCATGTGTTTGAAAATTTAAAAAAATACTGAATTGTTATTTATATTCGCATGGTTTTTTTTACAGCGTTCGATTTCCGTGCTACAAATTGTGAAAAGGGTTGGGTCCAGTTTGAGGAAAACTGCTACCTTTTTTTAAGCTTGGAAAACAATTTTAAAGATGCGGTGGTAGGTGAATCCACGGAGAGAAAATATGCACTGTATAGAATATTGAATTCTCAATAACTTTTTTGATATAACTGAAATATCTTTTTTTGTCTCAATTTATTTATTTTTATTATCAATTTTTACAGGATTATTGTAACAAGGCTGCGGCTGGTACTCGACTCCTTGAAATAAAAAGTTCACATGTAGAAAAATGGATTGATCTACAGCTTACGATTCGGGGTACATTTTGTATAAAATGAACTTTTTTTATCAAGTAGATAAAAAAATATTTCATTCATCATGGTGATTGTTCTAATAGAAATATTTTTAGGTTTTCAATATACCTGGATTGGATTGACAGATATTCTTAATCAAGGTAGCTTTGTCCTTATTTCAACTGGAAGTAAACCAACATACACGAATTGGCACAAAAACGAACCCAACAATTCTGGGAATGTTGAGCATTGTGTTGAGAAGTGGAATACAGGGTTGAAATGGAACGATAAACGATGTGACACCAGACGTTCATTTGTTTGTGAGATGGGTCCTTAAAACATAAGTTTTCTATTGAAGTGTGTTCTATACGCAAAAGGACAAATGTGAAGCATCAACATACACAGCATAAGTAGCATATTTAACTGTACATATATTCCAACTGATACCAATTCACAATCAAAATTACTATAGAAAATGATCTACTTTTATCATTGCAGAATAAGCTTTTCAAATATTGTCTTAATTAAACAAAGGAACAGATGAATGTTTTATTTTTTTTTCAAATACTATACGAGGGTTGTTTGGAAATTTTGTGGACTAGTGTCTTATAATTAAAACCGCTAAGATACGTCAATGACATTTTATATACTGATGACATTTTATATACTGAAACGGTACATTTTTTCTTAGCATAGATCTTTTTTCTGATTGATTAATTGAAGTAGCCTCTAGAACTTGAACACGACGACTTGGATGACACTAAAAAAAAAACTTTGAATTATCTTTAAGTACTTCCATATCAACATGACGTCATGATCACCAGAAATGTCTTCAAGGCAACACGTTAATTATATATACAAGTTAACTCTGAAATAAAAAAGCAAAAGATTAAAGAGAAAACATGATATATTTTACAACAATAATTTTAATTGACCATTTGAAATTCCTATTTATTTTTTATACGCCTTTAAAAGGTTGCTTGACTTTTTTTTAATGAAACTCTTTTCGGAAAATTGGTTTTAAAATCTTCATATATCTCAAGGGGAAGATTTAAATGGTACCAATCTATGTACAATGTATAAACAGTAATAATATATAATACATTGCATAATAATATATAATACATGCAAAATTTTGTTATATATTTTCTCGTAAGATGTTTTAATATGCAGTAAACGGTCGATGATCATGTATACTGAGATGTATTATGCAATGAACAGAGGTAAAATGATCTGTAAAAAGGTTTTTGTAAATGATTTATAAAGATTAACACTATACTATTTTGTTAATTATTATACGGGGAGGATATTTTCACACGATGAACTTGGAATACATTTGTTATCGCTTCCCTAAGACATAAATTATGATAGTAGAAATAATTTCAATGTGTAGGCACATTCTCTTGAAACATTTCTAACACTATTTATAGTGCAGTTCGTCCCAGGCACTTTTAGGTACACCGATTGGACTATTGTTTTTCTTATTAGTGTAGAAATAAAAAAAAAGTCATGTTATGTCTTGTGTCGAAGTCAATTATGTACAACACACTGACTTTATTTTTTTTTTGGTTGTAAGTTATTATCAATTCATGTGATACATGTACCACACCTATTGTTTCGAACCATTTATGTATAGAGATCCAATTGTGTATATTGACTACATTTATTTTCCAAGCCTATACATTGATTCTGAAACCGAGCAGAAAATATAATGATATGGGTCTTATGCACTTTAATGCGCCATATAGCCTTATAAAGCTTCCCATAGAGTAGTTAAGGAATTTTTAAAAAAATGAAAAAAAAAATGCAATGAATTAAAATAGTGATATGCGGAATGCTACTTCCTCTACCTTTTCAGTAATCATTGTAAACATGTAATTATATTTATTTTCTTTAGTGTATCTGAAGATTTGTCTGAAATCTATTACAATGCAAGACAAACAAGCAATTTAAAATAATTGTGTTCCCCTCCTTTCGGTAACCTTGATACTTAGATGTCATATTAAGACATAATGTTTCAAATATGAAATTCAATTATGTAAATTAACAACAGCGCTAACGTCACGCATCAGATCAACGTTGTATAAAGTGCATATTTTAACTACCTGTGCAAAAAAAATATCACTAAATTTAGAAAACAAGAAGTTTGAAAAATGGCGACCGTTTGGATTGTGCTTTGCGTCTCTTGCTTGTTTTTGACAAATTCTCTTTGTACGGATTTGAACAAACTTGAATGGGATAGTTATCAAATGAATATATATGAACAGGTTCTTAAATTACAGCGAGAGGTAGAGCAATTACGCCGGGAAAACAAGGAAATAGGAGAAATATTGATAACAACAAAGAATAACAGTCGTTCCTGTATATGTAAGTTTAATTAAAATACATTATTTCCCAAATTGGGAGGCTTTGAACTAGATAAAATTTTAATTATGCTGTGAAAAGTTTGCACTTTTTTCTAAACCTAATATTTCTAAATGTACAAAATAACGTGTTAAGCTTAAAAAATCAATGTTTTTTCATAGGAAATCCGCATCAAGTAAAAACAAAAACATCTCATTGATCAATTTTAGTAACTTATTACAAAGAGAGATAACACAATTATCTTCTTTTCAAAGCTACAAAGAGAAATGAGTAATTTCCCTTTTCTTGACAACTAGTTAGTGGACGTTTTATTAGATAAACACTATTCCTTTAATCTAAACGACATTTTATCAATTATATTTTAAAGAAATTGGTGCATTAGCATTATTTTAAGTTGATAACATTACGCTTTTTATTATAAAGACAGGTGATAAAACCATTTTTTTTTTCTTTGGTGGATACTTTATATAACGTCAAAGATTTAGAAAAGTGAATAATTCCTGGAATTGTCTTTCCTTCGTCTTGGAAAATAAAATACTTTTGGAAAATACATGTATAAGTGAAAACGTCAATGAAATAACAAATAGACAAATCATACTCAGAAAATGTTTACATATGAAAGTTATATCAGAATATTTCAGTCAAGAGCTTTAAAAGTAATATATACGTTACAAAAAGCTTATCTTACAAAAATATACCAAGTAAGATAAATATTATTTAAAAACACAGCTGTATGGTGAAAAATTACTAAAATCACATAGCCTCTTTTATACTATTTTGCATTTCCTCATAAAATTCACATGACGTAGTATATTTTTATAAAGTTTACATAATGTTTAGCACTAACGTAAGATATTTTGAAATCTGTTTTCATCTGTAAACGTTTATTGAGTCAATCTTATGAAAATCAGATTCTTAGATCCGCTTACATAGAGAGCTATACAAGGATTTGAAGAAATCCCATTCAGGGTCTTCTTTTTCAGCACTTTGTTTTGTACAAAACAATAAGATTTTCTGGACAGCTATTTACACTTCTATATTTGTTTTCCCGAATGTCTTTTAAGTACAATCTCTCTGATTGGTCAAACTTTTAATGAATAATCTTTTTAGATAGGTCACCGGAACATGAAACTGGATGGGGTTTCTTCAGATCTTTGAAGAGCGATCTATATGAGCGGATCAAAGAATCAGATTTTTACTGAGTATTATTTGTCCATATCTGTTACTTTGTTATTCTGACCAAAGATAAAAGAGGCATTTCCTGTCTTTAAGAAAACAAATAATTAAGAATCAGTATCTTAAATACTGTTTGTTATCACCATGTATTTTATTAGTATCATCGTTTTGTTGAACTACTGATGAGAAAAAAAAATACCTGCTCGAAAAAGCCTACCTCTTCCATTCACTTTTGAAATGTTTGGCCAGAGATTTTTTTTAAAATTTCTTTGATCTAACAGATCAAAATATATAGTACACTGTATTTTAGAAATAGGACTTTCCATTCCATTATACAAGAGTGTTGATAAACTTAAAAATCGACAAATGTATCTAATATTTATATCATCTGTCATAAATATACTTGACGTATCAATCGATTTGTTTTTCAGGTAAAAGAACACCCTTTGATTGTTCGGATATTTACAAGAATGGCGAAAAAAAGTCCGGAATTTACAAAATATACCCATTCGGTGAAAACAGTCATGGCATTTCCGTACTTTGCAGAATGGATTCCGAATTTGGAGGAAGGACGGTACAAAAAATAACTTACATGATAAAATACAATCTATAGAATAACAAACATGATACAATAAAGTATGTTGAGTAAATAACAGGATAAAACAGTGCATATTAAATAAATAACATGATGGAATACAGTTCATACAGTAAAAAATTAAGAGGTAAAATACATTGTATAAAGCAGCTACCATGACACAATACAGTAAAAAGAGTAACTAACATCATTAAATACAGTGCTTAGAGTCATAGCAGGAATAATCCTGCGTCGAATGGACAGTGAAAATTTATTAAAGTTCTCCATATTTTCAATGTACATATATCGATCGCAGCAAAAACAACTATAAGGGACTCCACTAATGTATTGGAATAAACAAAAGGGGAGGGACGTTTTGGCGGCAAGATGAAAACGAGGTCTGCTTTACGAATGAGTGCGAAAAATTGACCCAAAGAGGACCCCAAGCGAATCAATGAATCGAGCCCGAGGTTTGCATTGGGTTCGCTCTTAAGTTCTTAGGCTGGTCTGCTCGATACAATTTTTTGCATTTAGATGTACCATACAAAAATACATATGATCAAATTTGGATATCAATTGATCTCGTTGTATTTCCTTGATTTATATAAAGCTCACAACAATAAAATTGTACACATGCATATTGATAGGATTTGGCCATATCGTTTAAATGTTATTGCAACCTTTGTTTCAGTAATCCGGAAAGATTGGTACACTTTTAAACCTTTTCACAAAAGAGCACACTACGAAATATAACTCAGCTATACTTGAAATCTAACATATTGTCATTATCTGAAACATGATACCCTGCAACCATTTAAATCATTAAGCAGCCAACTGATTTTAAAAATACGTTGAAAATTAAAAAGTATTTCAGAAAAAAAGTTATACGTGTATCTTCGTAAAACTTTTTATTCTTCAGAAAATGTTGAGATTCATCTTTGATTAATCAGTACTTTCAGTACTTCCTTTCATTTAGGTTATACAGCACAGAGACGACAAGTCACCCAGGATAAATTTCAATGCTACCTGGGAGGAATACAAGCAAGGATTTGGGAATGTTCGAGAACAATATTGGCTTGGTAATATAATAATCCAGCTTTACCAGTTCCTACAAATTATTCATAAGTTTTTATTTTAAGCACCTCCATAGTGAAAATTTGCAATACGTAATTAAAGGTGTATGGACACAGAATTGAAGTTAAGGTCAGATGACACGTTCCTCAAAAATATATAATTTTTCCTTAGAATTTGTCATTGAAGTAAAGGTACCTAAACACGTTTCCTCACAAAAAAATTAGGCTACCTTACCAGGCATTTGGACGAGATACCACAGGGTCACATTTCTTAAATAATCCTTATGGATAACCTTATGAATGGCCTATTTCACAATTTTTGGTGTACTTATATCTAAAACCATGTTAAAAAAATGTACAAATCAGAAGAGAATGACAAATATAAAGAATGTTTGAAAGGGAAAAATGACATATATTTGAGGAACGTGTCATCTGACCTTAATATTTTCTGTATAATATTCTAACTAATATATATTTCAATGAAATTTCACACAAAAATATAATTAAATCTTACTCATCCAAATGTTATTAAACATTTGAATTTTTAGACTGGTTTGATTGACACTTTCACCAATTTTTTTTTATTCATAATACTTAGAAAAAGTTTCAATCTTATGAATGCATGAAAAATATCAAAACTATAATCCAAAGAATTTAGAGTAGAAATGTTCAAAAGCAAAACATACACACAGTATATTTTCAGTGCCTGCAGTTGTGGTGAGCAGATGCAGCCGATGAATCGTAAACATCAACAATAACAGAGCTCGTGTCCTGTTTACAAAAACTGTGTATGTTTCACGGGTGTGATCAATTAGCTAAACTTTGTACACAAAGCTTAGAGCGGAATGCTTGTGAAGAGGTTTTGCTTTCTAATGTTTAAAATCTGAATTTAAATTGTTATCTGGATTGAAGTTTTGATATATTTCATTAATGCACACCATGATTGCCACATTTTCTAAGTATTAAGAATAAAAGTAAGCCGAGTGAGAGTACAAAGATTTGTCAATCAAAACCCATTATTGAAATCTGAAGTTTAAATAACTTTCAGATGAAATATTTTTTTAAATATATTTTAATGTGAAGTGCTTTCAAAATATATAAGTCATGATATTACACAGCAAATACTTACATCAAATCCATGTTCCTTTAAGGTCCTTTGACAAGTGAGATAACTCTAAAAATAAATGTCAATTATAAATCAAGTTAAAACGCCTTCTGTTTAATTTTTGTCCTGCAAGCTTTTATATTTCGTTTTTTTTTATTTGTATTTAACTAATATAATATATTCATTTGCGTTTGGAAAATCATAAAAGTTAAACGTATTGTGCAGTCATCTACATGAGGGTTCATGAACTCTAACTATAGTTGATACTTTACTTTTTGCTAGGAAACTTTTTAAGTTGAAAGTCTATCAAATTTGATAAAAGTAACATGTATGTAAAATTTTGAAATAATTTGGAAATACTATGTGATAATAAAATCCGAAATCCATAGTAAAAAACATAGATATACTAAAATAACAAAAAATGCAGCTGTTCACTATACATGTAGTAAAACTATTGTTAACAATATAATTTTTGTTCTGGTTTGCTTTTATAAATCTGGTTCGAGATGTTAAAGAGAATACTCAATTTATTTTTCATGAAGGTGATCAACAAATACTTTTTTATGTGGTATGTTCAAAGGCTGGACAAATGAACAAAACAGACATGTTTAATTTGAAACCATTAGCTCTAAAAAGAAAATATTCCTTCGCACTGCGTAAAGCTAAGGCTGGTGACGTCATTCATGAATTTGACAAGAGAGGTTTTCTTCTATTACTCAATAGTATTGTTATCAAATATAATTATTGTACAAGATTTATCAGTAGTCTTCAAAATTAATGAATTCTTATTTACACATCATCATTTTGTTAATTTTATTTTTTACGCTTCTTAAATTTTTCATGACCTCGAAATTTAACTTCCAACACGGTGCATTACAAATTTAAATTCGGACCTGCCTTAATGTAGCCGAGAATGAGTCGATCGGAAAAGAATGTGATAGTCAAGGATAAATATTTGCTTTTACAAAGCATGATAAGGTTTAAGAACCTATTCAACACTTAATATTAATGTATCCTTCAAACCAGATTGTTCTTATTTCATGGTATTTTTATACGTAAAAGCCCCGCATACTATCACTCAATTCGTAATATTTCAAGATTTTGTTAAGTATTAATATGTCTTGTGGAAGTTTTTGAGCATTTTCTCTTTAGATGGGATTTAAGCAATTTTTTTTCTTCTCTCTAGGAAATGAAGTCATTCATAAATTGACAACGACTTTCGAGTACGATCTACACATTAACATGTGGGCATGTGTAGTTGACAATTTGTGCTTCACATTTGTAGCAGAATACAGCTCATTTTCTATCTCTGGTGAAGCTGATGGTTACAGACTTTTCTTAGGAAAAGAATCGGGAAATGCCAGTTAGTAGTATTGCTTCTCAAAACCTTTTTAAACATGACACATTGAAAAACTCTTATTTGAAGAAAAAAAAACACAATATCTTCTGCATGAAGGAATACATTAGAATGTTTTAGCTTTTATATCTAGAAAGCATTGTCAATAAATGGTTTTAAAAGGTTGTAGTTTTATCTTTTAGGTGATGCCTTTAGGGATCCTACATGTAATATCGTAAATCAGCCTTTCTTCACCTTTGATCATGACAACGAACACAGGTGTGCTTACCGAATGGCCTCAGGATGGTGGTTCAATGAAAACAATAATTGTGCTAGCGCAAATTTAAATGCTCCTAGGTCTGTAGTTAAATTTGGAAATTTATCATTTCATGTGCATCAATATGTGTTACCATTTTCGGAGATGATTATTGGAAGACGTAATTAAAAAGAAAACAATGTTTACTTTTCTATTTTTTTAACCTTTTAAAAAATACATCTAAAAGTGAAAACAATATTACTTTTCTTTAAATTTCTGTATTTAATGCATCGAAGATGTCATTAGGCACAGGTTTCTTTTCTAAAGTTCGTTCATATATGAATTTTTGAATAAGGTTGTTTAATCATAATTTATAAAATTGTATTTTGTTGTTCAAAATATGTTTAATCATAATTTAAAAATTCCTTTGTCATGTTGTTTTTAATGTTTGTTTTTGCTAAAGAATATATATATAGCAAATTCGGGCAGGAAAAAAAACCTTAGTGAAGCTGTTTTTTGTTGTTGTTATCTTTACTTGTGAAACCACAGTCGCTAATCTAAAATTTCATATTATCTTTATGGATTTTTTTTTGTTTTTTTTTTGAATGGTCATTTATTGATAAATAAATGACAAAGCAAACGACATATGTCAGCACATAGTATAATTGACAATACCAATACAATTAAACACATTGCGTAATAGAAACAAACGCATATAGCAAAAAACATCATAGAATCTTAAGTTCACAATATTATTCAATGAAGTACGCAAAAATGTACAGTATAAAACAGAATGCGTATTTCAGACCTAAACAGTGTCAAAGATGAGGCAACATCCGCCCTTCTCATAAATTCTGAAATGAAATGCACGTTTGAAATCTTAATTTAAAATCAAAAATTAAACAGAGGGCAACAATCGCCCTAACAATTAACAAAGAAAGCTTTTTCAGATATGGAGGAGAGGTGGGAGGCGGCATAAGAAAATTGTAAACATGTTTACCGCGAAAAATAAATATGGAGACTATCTTTAGATCTTTTAAAGTTAACTCTTTACAACTTACTGAACTGTTATGCAACATACACTTAATGTTCACGTCATAGAAATAGAAATTTACCATTTCCCCGCAAGCACCTTTTAGCTTGGTACACGTTTCTCTAAAGTTTAGCGTTAATAATATTATGACGTTATATTTTAATACAAAAATAACTGTTCTTATTTTATGAGATTTTTACAAATTAAAAAAAGAAGGAAATTGGTACTAAATTAAAGATTAAATGAACTTTTTAAATTGCGTGAAAATGCGTGATTGTGGGGAAACGGTATATGCGTGATTTTGCGTTAGAAATAGGAAATTGTATATGTGTTAAAATGCATGACTGCGGGGAATGGGGTTTATGCATGTCTGAATCTATTTTCGTTTTTCTGAATAAAATATTATTTTTAAAATGACGAAGGAAACCAAATGGACTTAAAAACAAGTATATAACAGTCCATTAGAAGACTTGAGTCCTTGTCTTCAGCAATTATAATTTTAAAATAAATACATAAAGTAGATACACATCTTTTTTGATAATTATATTTTTATCGAAAATCTATAATAATCCAGTTAAATATTTTAACAAACTTTTACTTGGTATATTGTGGTGTTTATTTTTATATAATATTTTATATCTTTATGGTTGTATTACATATGGTGTACAGTGGACTGTTTTTAACACCAGACAAATGGTTTATTGTCTTTATGTTTATTCAGCTTTGTACTCATTTAAATCTAGACATTGTCATATATTCAAAACAATAGATTTGATTACCAACATTTTGTTAACTTGCTTATTATACATGCATTGCTGTGTTTTGTAAATCAAAACCAAACATTGCGACTATAATTTCCTAATTGGACGTTTTGATATAGTTTTGTTACTAAAACGTAAGACTGCTAATCATGTGAGTCCATCTCCACCAGTTATGAGATCCACCACTACAGCAAGTTTCCAATTGATGCGTTTTGAGAAATCATCATGGACTTGGAAATATTTTTTTATTTTGATTTTGTTGTATAAAATTTCTATCTTTCGGTGATATTGTCTCAGAGAAGTAAGGTATTGTGACTTACATCTATTCCAAAAGCTTTGCAGAAACTGAATTTGTCGTTTCATGAATTCATTCGCTTTATAATGATTCATTAGAGAATTTTCGGTGGCATCCTCTTCATTAAAATAAGGGAGAGGTTAATCTTCCTTCATATAAGTACTGAGATGTTTAAAATCATCTGGATCTGTTGATATATAAGTCAGCAGTCTGCCATTAAAAATTGCTTCTTTTCCATATTTAAGGTGTGAAGAATCTCCACATAAATCTTTGAACGTCTAAGAACCTTCAGTAATGAAGTCTTAGTGAATCCAATTAATTTATCCCACCATCCACAATACCACGGAGCCCGACTAGGGATGAATTTCTATTTTATATCATATTCAGCAAGTTAAATTTAGGTAATTCATTATTTCGAATGTTCGTGTTCCTAAACTAAGCTGGGATAAACAGGCATTGTCACGAATGAAGTTAGGCGCATTTACATTCAGATTCAAAGGAGCTGATTGATAAATGTTCTTATTTACTTGACTTAACGTAAACTGAGTCTGTTCAGGCAATGTATACTTCTTTGATTCTCTTAACTGCAGCCTTAAGCCTAACATATACTCAGCTGATTCCTGTATTTCTTTTTGTATCTATTCTTCTTCCTTTTCAATCCTTTAATAATGTCTGCGTTAATGTATTCTAATGTATTCTCCCGCTCCTCTTGCAGTATTTACAACATTTACACAGTCATTCAGGTTTTATTAACATGAAACGCAGTCAGTTTGGTTTTACCATCATGTGACACAGTTATTTAAGGTTTATAATCATTAAGTTAGTTTTTATTATCATGGTAAAGTCACTCAGGTTTTATCATCATGTGCATGTAACACGGTCACTTAGATTCAATCATCGTGATCGTTTTCTTTATCTCTGTACCATCGATAACTGTGGAATTCCAAGGCTGGTACAAGTGTGCTGGATTCCATGGACTGTTAAGGGAAACCAAGTCACATGCATGTAACTACATACCACCCTTCCTCCTCCTCTTAAATAAACAACAAAGCAGTTATGTGTCCAGCTGTCGTATTCTCTGTCTAATGAAACATATGAAGATACGAACACTATTCAAGATAAAAACTCAATTAAACAATACAAAATAGGAGCAAAGTAAATACGGACCTCCATTCATCAAAGGTGGGATCAGGTGCTATGGAGGAGTAAGCATTCCCTGCCGACCGGTCACATCCGACCCTTGCTCTTTGTCATGAACGGGAAAATAACTAAAAAATCCGTCGTCAATTCAGTGCATAAATAATGAAATAATAATTTGTATGAAAAACGTCTAGGTAACTGAAAGGCATTCCACTTAGGTCAGCGCTAGATATCCTTGTCATCAACACACTATCACTTATGCAAAAATCAAAGATGAACATAAGATAGGCACTACTTTCAAATTGATCTTTATTATTAACATACTGTAAAGTTAAAGAATGTCACATATTGTAAATTATATTATTTAATTAACTCGTAATAATCATTTTATAAATATTGAGCATGATTAAATTTTATATTTAAATTTATAACGAACAAGTGAATTCAAGAATTGCATTACTTTTATTATGATAAACTATTAATGGCGTGTTTTCTAATTTTTGTTATTTGTGTTTCTTGGATTTTAATGTACTTCACAGGCAAATCAATACAATTTTCAATGATCAGGACATATTCAAAAATGACGTACTGTACATAACAGGTTATCCAATGGAATGTTATAATTTTGCTAACAAATTATTTATTATTTGAATATACCCACGCAGTTCCGGATCGTTTGTTATTGCTTGAAGTTCTGTTTCGAATTCATAGCTTATCAACATTTTAGCACTGGGTTGGGCATAAAATAAATAAACATTATTTGATTATTTCTTATTTTGAGTTTGATGATTAAGCCATTAGAGGAGTACCATATTTACCAAACCTGAGGGGCTACGTAAATATTGCATTTCGGGGTTGCAAAATCATTCATATGACCGAGAAAACAGCAGTACTTATTGTATTATATGATTCAATGATTGATTGAAACAATGTCGCTAATAAATCATAACAACCAGTTGCAAATGTAGGGAAAATGATAAGAATTAGAGCTTGTATGCTGCGAATACTAAGGAATGTGTATTCAGTTTTCAGTTTATATATCTTTAAATTGCAGAAGTCAATTGTCCCATGTTTAATATAATACAGCAAAAAAAAAAAAATACTCAAGTTTTGTAAGAGGTGAAATGTTTAGGTGTGTATATACACTGTAGTAGATTTTCCCGAGTGATTAAAAAATTAACTAAAGATTTTGTTTAAAAAAAAAAAAAAGGAGAATGTGCGGAATTGTAGTCGCTACGCTTGGAATATATTTTGATGAAAAATGGATATAATTTTAAATATGTGGATTAGTCTAATTTCTTGCAAAATATTTCGAATACCAAAAATAAGAGGGCTCGCCTAAAGCACTTTTTTTTAGGTTTACCGTATACTCAGTTTTATTTCTCGATGGAAATTAAATATTTAAAAAACCTGTGAAAAACTTGTGACGTATCCAACTTATTTTCAAAAATATAGAACACTGTCACGTGATAACATAATTTATGTCAATAAATGTGTTGACACATGTAGTGAGTGATTCTGTTATGCAAATTGACTATATTTATGCGTGCACGAGGCTGGGGTGTGGCAGCCATTTTCAGACTATTTTTATCTCCTTTAAAAGGAGAGCTCCATATGAAGATATAGAAAATGATTAAATTTTAAAACTAAAATGTATGATTTTTTTCTTTGTGAAATGATAGTAGACAGCTTAAGTTACCGTATCTAAAAAAAAATAAGTTAAATCTGGTGGTTAATTTGTGATTAATTTGTTGACCCCCCAGCCTCCTTAAATGCACTTTAATGCCTCGAGAAGACTTGAATAGCTTTGCACTGTGCAGTAAATGTGTATACAATAATTGAAAAGCATTATGAGGAACTAATATTTCCATTTAAAATTGTTTTCCCTATGATAAACACTACAAAAGTGAATCTTGTTAATTGCTCCGTGATGCCTGTGGCATGTAAATTTCTCTATTGATATAATACTGAAAGGTCAAATGTCAAACTTGCATGTACATGTATATGAGTGGTGTAAAAATACACCGAAGAAAAGTAATGTTTTGTTTTATTGTTTACTAAGTAATTAGATATGATATATCTTTTTACAAACAAATTAAATTATGAATTATCTTCGGATCAAAAGCAAGTCACTAGCGTATAGCGC